AATGGTAGTGTATCATTTTGGGGAGCAGCCACTCTCTTCCTTTGGGGTTCTATTTCGAGGACCTTTGAGCTGTCTGGCATTAGAATGGAATGTGAACCCTGCAAGGGCCGTGGGGTTCTTGGCTCGGGATGTGGTCAGGTACAAACCGTGCCATAGCAGCCACGCGAAGCTGGACCACCTACACCTTGGTAGTTGTTCGAAAGATACCTAGCTAGGAAGGTGCCTCTGAAAACCCAAAGGAGCTGAGCAGAATCACATTTACCCCAGAATTTAAGAGGGCGCCTCAGACTTATTATCACCTTTGAGAGCCATTGGACTGTACTAGGTAATAACCCTGCTATTGAACAATAGTGTATTCTCTCTATCTTCAAAATATTCAAGATATTAAACAAAGATATGTAGGCACATAGAGGGTCACCATTCTAATGGGGTGAGGCCTCAGAGTAGTGAGCAAGTCTTTTGATAAAGGTCTGCAAGGTATCATCCAAAGGCAAATGAGCGAATTCTCGTATACGATGAATATCTGCTTCCACTGAGTCGGTGTGAATATTCAGTGTAGACTCGACCAGTTTTGATATCTTCTTGTCATAAAACTTCGCTTTCAAGGTGCAGTTCTGAGTTCGAATTCCGGAATTCAGAGTCTCTTCAAAGTATAAAAGCAACAAGGTGAGCGCTTTTATCCCCCTGATGTAGTAGACCTGTACATTCGTTGCGGCCTCGATGACCCCTTTCAGGCCCATGATTGTCCACGTGACCGAGTGCTCCGGATAAACGTCCTCAGGCACAGAACAATCCAAGTGTAGCGTCGTTAACTTTGTAAAATCAATTCCTCGACACTCTGCCAGGGCTCCGCAGTCCACCTCAGGGCCCAAAGAGAGCGAAAGACACCGCAAAAGAGGCGCCGAGAAATTCTCCATGACCTTCGTTTCCAAGGATCCTCTAAGAATAAGATTCTGTAGCGCTGGGAAACGGGGAGGAAGGTGGAAGAAACGATAGCAATAGAACATCTCCAGCGTCACAAGGTTGGGAGACTTTGAAACGACCTCCAGATTTCTGATTTCCATTGCTCTACTGTCAATTCTGAGCAGCTTTAATTGCTCTAGACTGCCGCAGAGATCGATTGAGCAATTATATACCGTTAACTCTTCAAGGAGTGGTGCAAATGGGAGGATAGGCTCCTGGCAGTTGAGATATCTCAATTGAAGCGAACGAAGGCTGGGTGTAGGCTGAGAAAATGCTTCATTCCAAGCTCTCTGGAGGCGTTTAAGCGAATACCAAAC